GCAGGGGCGCAGCGCGGCCACAGCCCTGCGGGGTCTCTGATGGGAGGCGACAGCGGCCAGAGGCGGAACCAGCCACACGGCGGCCTGGGGGAGAAGTCGGGGTGGTGGGCCGGGCCGGGCCAGGGGTGCACACGCCCGGCCTGACCTGATGGCCAGCACAGATGGAGCACAGCCCGAAGGCCCGAGGAAGAGGCAGGACAAGCCGTGGAGGAGCAAGCGTGGGGACGGGGGCCCGGGAAGAGATTGCACCTGACAGAAGCAGATGCCTGGGCCAGGCGGCGCCTCCCAGCAGCGGGTCTCTGACAGGACTCAGGGGCCCAGACCTGTCCGGAGGGGACACAATGGATGGGCGAGGCGGGCGGCCAGGAAGAAGAGAGGGAACCGGAGGAACGCGGGTGTGACCATGCCACCTGCCCCCACCCCCGTGTCTGAAGCCTGTGCTGACAGAGGTGGGACTCCGGAAGCCTTCCCTGTTGTCCTGGCTCCCCCAGGTGCGGAGCCAAAGCCACCCTGTGGCCGAAGGGCCCTTCCCAGCCTGACTCCGCCCCAGGTCGCAGGCTCACGCTCGCCGCCCCACACGCCACCTGACGAGACACCCCACTGGAGACCCCTTCCTAAACGTGCACAGTCGGGGGTCTCAGTTCCTCGCTTCACAGCACACCCTGAGCTCAGGGCCCAGGTCACGCCTGGACACGAGGACTGGAGCACACACAGCCCACACACCTCTGTGCCCCCAAGGCCAGATAGTGATGTCCCTCCCTCCCTCCCTCTCACTTTCCCTCTCCAAACTCAATAAACACACCCTCTGGAAAGCATAATGAAAACACTAATAAAGCCATCTACAAGAAAAGAACTGATATGTGTGTCCCGTTTTGGTTCAGCGGAGTTACTGCTTGTGTAAATATTTTTTGAAGCAGACTATATCCTAAAAACATCCCAAATTTGACCCTCACGGAAGGAAAAGAAGATGGGCAACACTCAGAGTCCAATACGCAGGCGCCAGAAGCCGGGGAACGGGAAGTGATGACAAGCTTTATGGAGGAGCCCTTACGAGATGGCAGGAGGGGCGGGCAACCCGAACGGCGCACCTCAGCGCGTCCGTGAGGTCAAGTAGCAACAAGTAGCAACAGTATTCGCCTCGCAGCCGTGCGCACAGAATAAACACTGAGGAAAACTACTGATCCCTTAATAAAAAAAATACATGGAGTAGTAACAACGTAGCCAAAGGCCAATCACTTCCTTAAAACGGACAGTGAAGCAACAACAGCAGGAGTTAACATCACGCCAGGAACACAGCCTCTTCTGAACCCAGAGTCTCCATCCTGCGCATTGTTCTCTCACTGAAAAGTAGCCTAAGTTTCTCAACAGCTCAAGTGTGGCCGGCAACCCTTCAACAACCGCTGTGCGTGCACCTGTAAACATGCTTTCGGGTTTTCCTGTTTTAAGAAAAAGAGTGAGGCTTGCACCTAAACTGAAAAACAGCAAGCAATGGTGATACTGCCATACAATAAATAGAGAAGTTTGAAGAAAGAGACAGAAAAGGAGACCAGAGCGATGCCCAGGGCCTCCCGCGCCCTCAGAGCTGGGAGCCCAGGGCAGCGTCAGACGAGCTGAGGTCGGTCCGCAGCGCGCGGTGCAGGACGCGGTGCTGCTCGCTGAGCCTCCAGGTCCTGACGGGGAGAGATGACCCACCACTACTGGTCCGGGCGTCTGATGTGTGGGCATCAGGGCTCGGTCACCTGAAGGGGGCCCGGGGGACACACGCGCCCCCAGACGAAAGTGCCGACCAGCCCTGCACCCACCCAGGGGCCGAGGCCACCCCACGCCATGACGACCCGAGACACGAGGCCTTCAGAGGCTCCTCCAGGCACTGCCTCGCGGCAGAAGCACAGAGGCTTTGATCTGCACATGCGGCCACAAGGAGGAATACCACTCTTGCCTGGGCCCAGGGGCTGGGGGAGCACATCAGCCCCACCCCTGGGTGCCGCCCATGCAGCTGTGCCACAGGGATCAGATCTGGGGCACTGGCGCTCCTTTCCCCTCCTCCTCCTCCTGTCACTCAAAGCCAGCTGCTGCCCCAGCGCTGAACCACACCCACACCCGCCAGGGCTCCCCTGTGTGTGGCGCACCGGCATCCACCAGACACCTCGCACTTCCTCTGGCCCTTTCCACTGTAATGGGCGTGGGAGGCTCCTTGTCCAGATTGCATTTAATGAATCCACAGTCACGAGGACATCTTGATTACTGCATTACAAGGAGGATTACTTACTTAAAATAGGGAATACTTCAGAGTGAACTTGCAAATTAAGTGCAGTTTATTATTTTAAAATGTGAATTGAACTTGGCTATATTTAGTTATTTACATTCAAGTGTACAAGCTTTCAGAAATATGTCAGTGCACTACCTTGAAATAAGTTCATGCAAATTAAGGAACATAAAAGTATATTCTTATACAAGCCATCACTTCAGCTGCTCATGGAGTTAAAAAATGTATTTAAAATTTAGTTTTCTCTTGCTAATCACAGTCATGCTCACAAAATTTATTGGTTCATTAAAAAATAGTGTAAGTATAAGAACTGATTTATAATAAATTATCATTTTTGCATATATCAGTCAAAGCACAAAGCCTAAATACTTGCAAACAAAATGCATTATTAATTTAATTGTCACAGCCTATTTAGCTAACTTCTATTACTATTTGCTATAATATGCAATGCATAAAAGGCGAGAATCAAATTCAAAACATAAAAAATAAACTGATTATACTGTCCTGAAGAAATTAAAATATAGCAAGCTTGCAAAATTATAGCCAAGACATTAATGTTTTAAATAGGTAAGAAAAAAATGTGTAACTTAATTTAGAAAACAGTTATTCCTAAAGTGATGGTTCCATATGCTAATAAAGAGTTTCTTTGTTTCCTAAGACCATGAAAAGGCGTCAGTCCCTCTGGAAGAAAGGAGCCTGCTGGCATTCGCTGGGCTGGGTTTTGCCACGTAAACCCCAGTCTTCTCCGGCCCTGGACACCCACTGGGAAGTAATGCTGCCGCCGCCGTGGAGGTCCTGGCAGGAGAGGGAAGGCCCTGTAAACTGGCATCATAGACAAGTGTCCTGAAGTTCATGGCTTTTAGGGGGTAACCAGTTCAATCAAATTGTTTAGTTTAGACAAACTCAGACTACTCAGAAGGTAATCACCCCGAAGATGGAGTGTAAATTTCCCACTTGATGGTCATTTCCCAATTTTGGGAGAAAACTGGGCTAATGATGCCAAAAAGGCTTACCATATCTACAAGGGGAGAGAGGCAGGCCGCCTTTCTCCCGCCTCTTTGGAGACTCCCTTTGTGCCTCAGGGTCTGAATCGGGAAGCGGGAGAGAGGGCTCCCGGTTGCTTGGGAAAGGACACATCCACATTCCGACCACAAACACTGGGTACTGCTACTTCCAAGGTGCCCGGAGGGTAAACATGTGTATGAAATGTTAAATGATACCTTTGACTTCAAAATGTGTAACAGTTATAGTAGAGAAGAAAAATGTTCTTTTCATTAATTATCTGATCTAGATTGTTTTCATTCAAATTCATTAATGAATAAAACACTTTAGGTACCTATATGTAAAGATTCTCCATGTGAGATAATTAGTAGAAGAAAGAGCACTGGAAATAGTGTTAGAAAAGTAACAATTCTAACATTTATTATGAGATCTTGAAAAAAACTGTATAGTCCTTAGACCTATAAAATTAGAATAATAATACTCTGCTAGCAAGGTCACAGAATAATTAATTGAAACAATACATGTGAAAGCAATGAGAATCTTGTAATTAAAAATGTTTTGTTTCCACTTTCTTAGACCCTATGAAACATAACTTTGAACTCAGGAAACATAACAGGCCACAAATTAGAATTCAAATAATATAAAATTTTTGAAATTTCAAGAGTAATGCATTCAGGACATGACGGACACATGCGTCCTGGTTCAAAGTGAGTACAATGGGACAAGGAGAAGGACGAGAAACCAGAGGCAGAAAGCGCGCAGCCGCGACGCCCCGGAATTGCGGCGCGGAGGCCACGTCCAAACTGAAACGCTGGAGAAAACAACGTGCCTCCAACAGAAAAGTCGAGTCAAATTCCACAAACATGCTGCAAACACTTTTAAGTGCTTCTTAAACTGTTTACAAGGACAATGAAACACTTAGAACAGGGCAGAGGAGGTCCCTGGCTATAGCATGGCAGAAGTTGCAGGATTATTGACATTTTAAAACAATACTAAAACAAGCAAGTTCCAGGGGAGTCTAGAATTTCTGAGACCATCTTGGAGGGTTTCAGGGAAAGCTGAGGGCCCGTCTTCCCAGGAAGGGAGTGGACCTGCACTAGGTCTGAGCGAGCCGCATGTTTTAACTTCAGTTAAAACTTCAGAAGTAGCCCTGCTCACCTGGCAGCTGACAGTACTGTACTTCAGTTCTCCTAATATGATTAACTCTGTGATGAAGCTAATTATGATCCCAGTAGCAACAGCGGAGAAATCCTGGCAGTCGGTGACACAGTAATTGCAGTATTATTGCTCATGACATGGCAACTCTAGTATCATTTTGAGGACGACAAAGATGTATTCTTAATATCGGCAATGTTTAATTCTACAATAAGAATTTAAAAACGCTATTTTAGAACCTCAAAATTAAAATGCAGGAGAAACTAGACAAAGCTTAGTCTTACGTATTTATTTTAGCTCAAGTGAATGTCTCTGCAGAGGCTGGCCCCTCTAATTTAACTCTTCTACTGTTTCAAGGTCGTTTTACAAATTCACTCAAGTCCCTCTGGCCCTCTCAGATCTCACCATGACAGTGAATGTGGGTGGGAGAGCGGCATAAACTGTGACGCTCAGCAACTGTGAGCCCCACGGACGCAAGTCGTCTGGACCGACTCAGAAAAATTCCAGAAGTCGCCTTCGGAAACCAACCCTGACACGCAAACAGGCTGTTAAACTTTTAAAAATGAATGAGAATTACCTTTCTTTTGGTGTGCCAACTCCATGTTTGCCCAGTAGGTGAGTATTTAAGTGCTTCTTCATTACAAAAGCAACCCTAAAAAAAAAAAAAAGTAATTATACAACTAAATCTCGACTCTCTGCTAGAATTACAAAAAGTATTTAAAAACGGGCATGTATGTATAGATGTCACATAAAAATGCAAGTCACAACGGCGCCCCTGCCAGACCAGAGGCTTGCGTGCAGGTGAGACACACGGGTGCTCGGAGACCAGAGGGAGGGGGCACGTGCGCGGACACACCCGCCCTCTCCGTCAAGCACGCCCACAGGACCGAACGCCGGCTTCGGTTCTGCAGCCATCGTCCATGCTGTCAGTTAAGAAGCCTCGAGAAACCACTATCTCCATGCAATGACATTCACTGGGTGCTCCCACGCTTCAGTCACGAGATGACTTCAGAAAATGTCATTTTATTGAATATTTAAGGGACCATAAAAGACAAAAGGAACATGGCCTTCATGACCTTCTCTTAAAAACAGTAATAATCTGAGGCTGCGCCGCTCAACAGCGATATGACGTTCACTGCACCCTGCAGAAACAAGGCACCAAGGTGCCGGGAAGGCCCCGGGAGATGAAAGAGGAAGTATTAGCTGACGAGCTCCCTTACTCTGCACACAGATCAGCTCACTAAACTCGGTTTTGTGGACCTGGGTGCGGCAGGGACAGGCATCTGCAACCGGTTCCCGGAACGTCCACCATCCTTCTAGAGACTGTGGGGCAACACCGATTTAATTCTGTTGTGTGATTTCTTTAAACAATTTATATCTCCTTCAGGAGTGACAGACTCAAATGGCTCTCTTCATAAGCAAAAAATAAAATACAATAAAAATTTACTATTGTGACTTGCAGTGTAAAAGGGCTCGCAAACATTTTTGTTAATTATGTATTACAGCTGTCCTTCATAAAGTTAATTACTAATAGCTGAGAGGCAACAGCATCTATTTGCATATGTACATGAAAGGCAGGACATGTGCAAAAATATGATTTTAATTAGCATGCTATGGTATGAAGGACTACAAATCAAATGGCGTGTTGTAAGATTCTTAACATTGAACACGGAATGTGTCTGGACGTGTGTGCACGACAGGCTGCGCAGGACTGCAGCGCGGCCATCTGGGAGGGGCAGCGTCACAAGCCAGGACCAGGGCAATTTCTGAAACTGCGACCCACACCGTCAACTTTGGTTATTTTCATACAGGATCATGGAACCTCAGTTTTGTGGCTAAAATAAATATGTTCATATTTTTTAAATGACTATGACTTCATTATTCAAATAATCATTTCTCTATACTGAAAATAAGTTGTATTCTCTTCTCCATAACATGTAATAACTACAGGCAATACATGCTTCACAACTATAAATGACTAATCACACCATCAATCACTAAAATGGAAAACTAATTATTATGAATGACAAATCAAACTGTTACGATCTTAAAAGCTCGGCCAAAGGAACAGTGTGGAATGTTCCATGTGTCTCTCTGCTTGATTTGGATGAAACAACTAACGTTTTTCATTTCCTTAAAAAAGAAAAAAGTAATAACAATGGGCCACGTGAGTCATAACTTTCCTGCTGTCCTCTATTTCTATAATTAAAAAAACATAAAGCTAATAGTGAAGAGCAAAGGTTAAGAACCCAAAGTTGCAAAGCACAGCTTATTTACATGACCAAGTATAATTTAAGAGACCTGAGCTTAGAAACCGCAGTGCAGTTTTTAAAAGAATATATATTATTAATTAAAACGTTTAAGTTTTAGGAATTGAAACAAAAATATGCCATTGTGTAGGATAACAAACAAAAGTACATAGGAAAGGGAGATTTTACTAATATAACACACTTAGATTATCACTGAAAGTCTGTGATACTATACTAAATATCTGGAGAAATAATAATTTGTTATTATGGAAAAAACCTACGTAATACTAAAACATACTCAAGTTATAGTCAAGTGCAAACTATATATCCATCCAAAATCTCATTTCGAATAAGTATAAATTGTTCAAACTTGGTCTAACCAAAGCACGAATAATGTAAAAATCTCAGCATCGTCTCAGTTAAAAACGTGAAGTCGGGTGTGACTGAGCAGAACGAGCTCGCCAGCCTCTGTGGACACTGTGCTGGAGCGCTCTGGGACAGCTGAACCCACCCTTTCACTGCCCTCCTCACAGCACTGCTTGAAAATTTCTCGCACACTATTGGTTTTGGAAAATCTGTAACTTAGATGCCAGGAGAGAGAAGACAAAATTCACCCCAAATCTGAAAAGCCCTGAGTGGAAAGGCCTTGCTCCTGGGGAGGACTCCTGCCTGTCCACAGTGCCCTCCCCGAGTGCCCAGGCGGGCTGACACGAGCCTCGGGGCAGCAGGGGAAGGCTCGGCGGGGCCATGGGAAGTCAGACTGCGGTGCCTTCAGGGGGCTGTCCCCAGGCCTGCAGCTGCTCCACAGGACGGGTGACAGAAAGCCACACACAGGGGCCTGGGGCTGCAGCGGGGCCCCCGCTGCCTAGGAGGCACTGCAGGGCTTGGTGACAAACCCAGCCAGGTCCCTGCCTAGTCCCGCATGGAGCCCAGTGGGGAGGCAGACAAGACCACCAAGGAGAGTAAGAGCATCTTAAACAGGGACGAGTGGCAGGAGAAGTAACAGGGAAGGAAGAGCTCGGAGGTCGGCAGGGGACCCGCACCTCACCTGTGGGCAGCTCAGGAATGGACTTGTAAGAGGGTAAGAGGCTGCGCGTGGCCAGGAATGGGGAGCTGCAAGCCACAGAGGGGCGCCCGACACCTGGGCCATGAGCCTGTGGGGCCTGTTCTCAGCCGGGGAAATACCGGGCCAGGTGGGGCCGAGGGCTCGGTGAGGGTGAGGGCCTCTTGGGCCCTGAGAGCCCAGCTTGTACCCCAGGGAGGAGGAAGCACTGCGGGTCTCAAGAGTGGGAGAGGCGTGTTGGTCTCAGGCTGCAGCGGATTCCTCCATGAGGGGGAAGGGAAAGGAGGGGAGGGAGAGAATGGGGGTGCGATCCCTGTCTTTTGCAATAATCCAGGCAAAGATGATAGTGGCTTGGACCAAGGGGTAGCAAGAGGTCCGGGCAAATTCTAGACATGTACTTGTGATCGGAGCCAATGCGTGTCCACGTGCAGTGGACAGGGAGTCAGAGAAACCACCCCAGTGCGGGGCCTGGGCACACTGAGCTGCTCCAAAGGCCAGCGCCAGTCTGGGACACGCTCAAGGAGGAAGCCCAGCGCCGTCCAAGAGGGATGTCTCGTGGGAGGCCGATCACCTGGTCCAGAGTTGAGGGGCAGGGCCCTGGCTGGAAATACACTCTGAGGCCCCATGCATCTGGCAAGTGCCTGGGGATCTGGAGGAACACCTTGAAATAATAAAAAACAGTGTTTCTTAAATATGATTGATTTCCAAGTATCTATAATTGCCTGAAATAGCGTCACTTAAAATTGCTTTAGCTGTCAAAGAGCAGCGCCGTAGTGACATTTACACCTCAGCCCCAGGCTTCCCCTCGGCACAAAGCTCTCGCGTGTTGCGTCCTCACTTCGACACGGTTTTCCCCGCACACTCCCAGCACAGCCGAAAGCCTCTGCCTCAGTCCTCAGGGCTTCCCACTGTGGGGCTGTCCCACCTGAGGATCGTGAACCGTTAACCGACTTCCCTACGAAGTGAACGAAGCTCAATGCCCAAGCACAGAGAAAGGGCTGGAAAAGCCACGGCAACCCAGGGCCCCGACACCCTGGGGCCCCAGCTCAGAGGTGGCTGCTGGGTCAGTGTGTGACGCGGGGCCCAGAGGCAGGGCTGCACCGACCGTGTGCCTTCTGAGCCCGCGGAGGGAGGAATACCCGTGACAGGCCGCGGCCCCCAACTCTGATGGTCTCTGAGACGGTCGCATTCCCTCAGACGGCCCGTGGGATCCGATGCCAGCCACCTGCAGATTCCTGCTGGCCAGGCCAACAAGGGCCAGGTGAGAGGAAGGATAAATGTATTTGCCTAACATCTAAAGACAGTAATGCATACGTCAGAAGAAGACGTCTAAAAACATGTTAATATGAGACTGTGATGAAAACCCTCACGTCTCCTGAGTGGCCCCCACAGCAGTCCCTCTGGCCCTTCCATGGCACGGCCACTGTGTCCCCAGTGGCTTGTTAGAAGCAGGGCAAGCTGGACAACCAGGTAGCTGGCAGGCCCCAGCCACTGCTGAAGCAGCAGGAAGAAAAACGACCCACGAGCCACCCAGAGCAGCCGCTGGCCCCAAGGAGCTGCAGACAGGCCTGGGCAGCGCACACGCGTGGGGCAGCCGGCGCGAAGGTGACAGCCACCAGAGCCTGCCCTGCCTGACTCGAGCACCCGAGGACGGTCTCTGAGCGGCAGTTTTCTGGACTGAGATGTGAGGACGGCAGCTCTCCCTGGGGGCCCCGGGAGGATTAAGTGAGGCAAATACAGCGGAGCCCCAGGGCAGGGCAGGCCCCTCCCGGAGCCACAGCTAGGCCACGCCGAGACCCAATAACACTGGCAGAGAGAGCAGGCTAAGGGTCTCGGCTCCCAAAGCCCCCACCCCACGGGCCAGCCAGGGGGCACCTTAAGGGACACACTGAACCGCTCCGAAGAAATTCCAGGTGACGTCGTAAGACGACCTAGAAGAGGGTCATGAGGTGAAGACACGACAAATCCGCCACTGCAAACTACACCTACTACATGGACGGCAGTCAGCTCAGATGTGATGGGGCTGAGCCCCTGGAGAAGATGCCTGTTTCTGCTCCCCAAGGTGGGTGCAGGGGGCAGCAAAAAAGAGCAAGGGCCCCCCGAACCGAGTCACAGCAACAAGCACAGGATAGGGAACCGCCGTGCACTCGCGGGGCCGCAAACCCGAGGCTCCGTTTTGTTCCGTGTAGTGCTGACCTTGAATGGCAACTCTCTAAGAATAACTTTAACTCGCTGGGAGAAAGAACGGCCTAAGCAAGTGAAAATTCTAAACTTTGACACTGAACACATCTTTAAAGGAACCTTAGTTATTCTGAAAGGGCTCAGACTCGTCCCAGACCG